GAACACAAGTTTACACCCCCCCCCCCCAAAAAAAAACTGAAACCAAATTTTTGTTTGACATTTGTAATTTCTCAAAACACAGGTGTGTGTGTGTATATTGTACTTTTTCCTTTCCTATAAGATACTTGTTTCTTCAAAAAAATTTTCTTATTTCATTTTAATTAAAATAAGACAATTTATTGGAACATAATTAACAGAGGCATCTAAAAAATTTGCAGTAACCATTTTTTTATCTAATCTATAATATATATAAATTTGCAGTAACCATTTTTTTATCTAATCTATAATATATATAATTTTACGGCGGAAAACAATGGATTCTCTAGGTGAGCTAAAATAAAATTCATTTTGTTGTACATATTATTAAATGATAGATAAAATATACAATATATTATATAATATTATTATATATTATATAATATTATAAAATATTATATATGATTTATAATATCTACTATATAAAAAGCAATGGGACGAGATTAAAGAATGTAAGATTAAATATTGTTTTAACAGCGCGAGACGTTTCTGTGTCACAACGGATAATTCAAATAGTGACTATTTTTAATATTCATGTAAAAGCGGAGCGTTTCATGTAAAAGCGGAACGTTTCATGTAAAAAAGATTGAAAAGACATGATTAATCTTTATTCTCCAGTGTCCAAAAATTCAAAATCGCTATTTGCGAAAATCGAGGATTGCCGCGCGTTTTATCTAATCCATAAAATATTTCCATTTCTTTTTTTTAAATGAACTATTCTCAACGTAGTATTAAAGGATAATGAATCTTAATAAGTTTCGATTATACAACAATAAAATAATAATTCAAGCCTCTTGAAATTTTATTCCAAATGAACTGCTAAATACGTATATATTGTTGCGTCCCTGCGGGTCGTCTAAAGCGGTTATTCATGAATCTGCTGTATTCGTCTCCGGTCTTCGGGAGAACGTTGCTAAGCGTTGTTGTTAAACAACGTCGGACATCTTGGGAGAGATCGGCCATCTTGAGTCTCGCGACGGATGTAATTCCGGGCGGACATATTTGAGATACGATTACCGTTATTACCCGTTCTGTGTTCCTTGTTCATTTGTGTGTTCTGTGTTATTATTAAAGTTCCTTTTGTTCTTTTAAAAGAGTGTTAATCATTTACGTCGCGGTACGCGAGTGCCGTTTGTGTCGCGCGTGTTCGAGTATTATCGAAGTCGACGCGCGGACGCAACAATATATAATGTAAGCTGTCTAAAATCTGAATCCCCGATGTATGTTTTGCTGCACCGATTTTTCTGACACAACTACCAATTTACATACACGAGTGAATATAATCCTTCCCTAGAGAGGAGAATATATATAATCCTTCCTCCCCAATATCTCCCTGTCTCTTTTTTTACGTATGCTCTTTGTCATCTTCAATACTTTTACTAGTACTATTTATAAGTTTGATAGAGAATGAATATAAAATTATTCCGTATATCTCTCCAACATCGTGAAGTAATAAACATGATTAATATTAGAAGATTGTCCCCGATATCAATATTTTATATTGATGTTCTTTAGATCGCTTCTTCAATAAAGTCGATTTGCTCCGCAA